TGAATGTGGGAAGATGGTGCGTATTGCTATATAAGGCGTGTTAATTTGCTAAAGAACTCTCTAAGACACGGATGCCACGACAATCTGATAATCACATCTAACGACGTTGGAATGCAAGCTGTAAAGGAGGTAGACTCGTGGTAAAAGTATCCAGTGCTCCCGTTTCAAAAGCCTCTCCCGTCTCGCCAGGCGCAAACGAAAAGTTGTACTGCTGGGCTATGGTCGATATGCTGGTCCGCAGACTAATCATCGCCAGGTTCTTCCCGGGACAGATATAAGGGCCTGCTTCAAATGTCAATCTGGGTAAACCACAAATAAAACCATCGCTCACCTGTCAGGAAAGGAATGAAGGGGGCACCGTCGGTCTTCATCTCGTGTCTCTTCTCACTCCATCGCTCTGGAATGAATTCCTTAGCCTCCTCGTAGTACCTTTCGTCAGTTTGAATTAGCTGAACAGGCACGAAAACAATGGTGTCTCCTGGAATATGGACTTCATCCACCTGAATTCCTTCGGCTGACGTGACACGATACCCCCCTGTCATTACGGCAGGACGCAGGCGAAGAGTTTCATTGATAATGTCGTCAATGAACGAGATATCCTTGACCTTATCATAACTCCAGTCATCTGCTCCGCCCGGCATAGCCTCGTCCAGTTTCCGCTGGAGCTTGGCCAGCACAGATTGATGCCTAGCCAAATAGTACAGGACGGTCGCCAAGGTGGTGGCTGTGGTCTCACTCCCCGCAATAATGACTGCCCGTGAGTCTTCATTCAGTGCCAGGCGAGAAGGAGCAGCAGAAGCACTTTTCTCCACGTATGCTTTGAGAAGCCATGAAACGACATCTTCGGGATAGGAGTTTGCATCCCAAGTCTGTAGGATAGCATTATACAACACAATCATTAGATCTCACCATTAGGTTTTCACGATGAGAATTGCATACCTTCTGCTTCCTTTCAATTTCATCAGCACACCACTTGAAAAAGCTTCTGTAGCTAGAAACGGCACCAGGGATACGGCAGAGTATATAGAGGAACCACGGGACCTGCAATAGAGTAGCACCAGCGGCCATATGGTCATGAACTCCTTTGATTGCTGGATGCTCCACACCGGTGGTCAGGTTATGGAAATCTTTGCCAAACCCGACGTCTCCCATTATATCAAAGCTAAGAAACATTGTCCAAGCCGTCATGTCAATAGGTTGGCCCAGGTTCTTTGCTACATGGGCGGCAAGTAGATCAGCCTTGCTTTTGACCCGGGGCTCATATATTCCGAGAGCTGAACGAGATGATGGGATCAGTCATTGGGTTAATGAAGATGATAGAGAGAGCTTTATCAAGTTAACATACATTTTACGTTAAAGCCCCGGTCCCACGCCTTTCTCCGCATTCTGTGGTCATCATGATCACGAGTGTGATGCACAGAGCAGTACTTGGGGTTTGTTGAGATATGGGCATACCATGGTGACTTGCTGCATTTGGACTGTGGCCCGAAGAGCAAAGGTATGGCGGACTTTCGCACAATGCAGATCTCACGTGGACCTATAAACGCGGAATACATTACAACCTGGACGAGAAGATGGATAAGTAACTAGCACAGGATTACCAGTTCGAACAAAGTCGCCATATTCGTGATGAAGTCTTGCGATCTCCACATTGTATTGGAGATCTTTGCCTGCCAAGTAGGCATTATAGAAGCGAGATAACTTGGCACCCACTGGACCTGGAAAGTGATGCAGGCGATGGAAGAATAATCGATAGACGCCAATACTAGAGATAAGACCCGTGTTGAACGCGGATGCGATGAGTACCACTCTGAGAAGAGCTTGAGCGACCGAGAATTGCGTCAAGGCTATGTACGCATATGCTGTTGATAGCACGGCGACCGCATAAATTGAAAATAGTACGAAGAGATAGTCTTCGACCGGGAAACTGGTGCGAAAGAGACTGACGTGCGAGAGCAGCCCAAACCCCGCGGCAGAAGCAGCGAGACTGAGCAGATCCGATTCCAACACAGCCCGCATGTCTGCCAACGAGACAGCTGATGAAGAGAGTTGCATTGTGCTCATAACCTATTTCTGGATGTTAAAGTGCATGGAGATGTTTCAAATGACATTGAAACAGGGTGGGGCACCTGTTAATAAATGTAGAGAGTAATAAATAAACGTAGAGTGAGCCGTGGATGCGGACATGCTGGCATGTCTGTTTGCAGCCGATGCTCTGTCATCTGATCGACAAAACTAATGGTTAGGCCCCCAACGCTATGTTAACTGGCATTGATCCATGCTAATGCGTCGTCCATCCTGTATTGCAGTGATGGAGCTAGTAACTCAAGTCCAGCAATAATATGATGGTACGTAGCCACGCTAGCTGATTGCGTGACGCAATACAATATAGTTGTTGATGGCACGATAAGCTAGCATATTAGTACTTGGTATTCTGTATCTCTTTGATTCAGAAAATAATAGAAACTAAACATCTACGACTGGACCTGGCACTACAAATTAGTTATAGCATACTTTGTAGATGCAATTTTTCCATTCTCAGTAACATTATTGTATAAAGCCACATGACCAGATAATGAACCCTATATGCGCCTAAATAGTATGAATAGATGCTAATACACTCCTCCACTTTTTGGCCCCCAATCATATCACTGATATATAAGGTTGAGCTTTATACCAATGTGTAAATGTCTTCTATCCCGTCATCACGACATCGTATTCTTCAGAGAGACCGATGCACATGCAAAGGGCTAAAAGAGAAATGAGGGTGGTTCAAGCATTTATTCCCCCTCCAGGAAGATTCCTTTCTGATCATTAGCGCTGAGACTTTTTCTTCCATAGCCCTTACTGCGCATGCAGACGCCTTAATCTGGTTTGGCCGATTGTCACTAATGGTAGTCAAGACATAACATTGCTTGACTAAAAAGATTGCTTCTTCGAAACCCATCCATATAGGATATATTTATGTAAAGTCTGGCCAATAATCGCCGCATCGTTTCGTTTCGCGTACGGTAAGGCTGCAGGTCTTATTTGCAGCTTCTTTAAACCACATTACGACATCTGCGATATAAGAGTCCTATTTTCTCTTGAGAAAGGGAGAAGATCCTCTCACGTTGCTCCAATGACAGTCCTTGAAATGTTAAACCCTCCAGCACTACCATTCCATGATTCTCTCCAGGAGAGATACTATAGTATCTCGAGCACTTTTACGTCCTTTCGGAGGTAACAAAGTGTTGATTACTGAGATTATCAGTGGGATTCTTTCGTAGTTATCAACGCTGAATATTTCTTTCTCACGCGTGCCCCGATGGCACATGCACACGAACATGTGCTTATAATTGTCTGTGAGGACACCATACACAGTACTGTTCATTCCCATATCACTCGTCCTCTGGCCACGAATTTTATTGGAGACTCTCTTAGAGTGCATATGTTAGGAATTAAGAAAAGCTGCCATGCTTGTGAGGGTTCGTCATTTCCCACAAAGAGTGTTAACGTTCCAAGATTCCTTTCACATTGTAGGAACACACGCCGGGCGTCCCTCAATATGATTCCAGATCAAGAAAAACCATTGTAAATGTGGACAACATGGTATTAATTCTAGGTCTAGACCACAGGCCTACTCCAAGCCGTTATCCCCAATTTTTCTTAGTCTCTCAGCTTGCCGACGCTATCTGGCTTTAAATTCAGCAGCGCGTCTTGGCGCTGGTCGGGATATTAAATTGTGGGTTAATTGTTTCAGATTCATATGAATAGAAGCTTGGATATTTAGCTTTGTCTGCACGGACCTTCCTCAGTTCTAGAGCCCACCCGGCGTTGTGTGGATTGAAGAAGAGTAGTAAAAATCAATAGGCAGGCAAGCAATTCATAAAGAAATGTTCTTTGATCATCAATACCATGTAGTCTAAGTACTTAGTATGTCTGTATATTAAACCTTTCTAGCCTTTTCTATAGGCAAATTAGCCAAACTTTGCTCTCACAAAGGGATAATTACAGCAGAGACCTTGATTCCCTCAAACATGGGACAGGAAAAGAGCATAGACACGTCAGCAAGTAGACTGCGTGCGAAGCTATCGCTTTAATATAATGCACTAGCTTGCAAGGGAAAAAGCGGGACGACAAGCAAAATAGAAGGACAGGGGAAAGAGCGTACCGAAGACGTACAAGTCACTTATTGGACTAAAATATGTCGCGAGCAAATCCGGCCATATACGTGTTTCAGGGGGCACAGGATCAAGCATCCCTAACTGCTTCGGGACGATGAAGTAAAATCAAGAGCATAGCAGGCGCACAGCGACACAGAGACCGCCTAGCTTTGTGAGGAATGCGAGACCCTGCTCCCTTAGAGTAAAGCCGTACATGTCTCAATAGACAAGCGGGAAACGACTCGAAAAACGAGTAGTAGATCACATACTTAAGACCAGTATAGAAGGTAGAAAATAAAACGACAGTATAAAGAGCGTCAATCTCCTATGGCTTAATTAGAGCGTTGGAAGTGGTTTCAATCATCTTTATGCACTGGTAGCTAGGTGGTTGCATAGATTCTCTGCGTGCTTGGCAGATGATATGGAGACCGCGCAAAGCTAGCTGGAAGAGGTTAGCGTTGCACTGTGATCAACGGTATGACATTACTAGCGTATGTTAAAAATCCAATCAAGGCTTGTTTCTTATTGATGGTTTGTATGTTTTGCTTCTCTGGATAGTACAGTGACTCTTTACCTAAGAGGCATGCATGAGTGTAATTGGGTTCTGGGACTATGCGGGGGTACAACGATTGCCAGCGTGTATGGGGAATACAGTGAATGCAAGTTGATGACTATCTGTTAGTTCCAAATAGATCGTTACATTAGAATCCACAGCATCATACCATCGAAAGACAAGCTAAACGTGGTCGTCTTACGTGAGATTATAGTCTGACAGCTTACTTATAATTCCGCCAACTTGCCCCCAGGAATTGCTTCCTTGCCAAGAGCTAGTAGATTCAAGAAAATACCAGCAGAATGTCCTCGGTAGGCCTCACCTCTTCGCTCGAGGATTTCCTCGCACAAACCTTCGACTACCTCATCATCGGAGGTGGGACTGCTGGTTTGGTTGTCGCATCACGGTTGTCTGCAAACCCCGATGTGAAAGTAGGCGTCATTGAGGCAGGAGATGCAGGATTTGATGATCCAAATATCACCAATCCGGGAAAGGTTTCGGCCATGCTACATAACCCCAAGTATGACTGGACTTACCAAAGCACGCCACAGGTAGGTCTTGCCGACTTCTTACGCTTCGGAGCAATCTAAAGGGCCCATAGGCGCACAACCAAAACCGATCCCATCACATTCCCCGAGGTAAAGTGCTTGGAGGTTCGAGCGCCATTAACTTCATGGCATATGGGAGACCTTCCGCGGTCGACCTCGATGATTGGGGCACCATGGCGGGAAACAGTGAATGGTCATGGGCAGGACTAGCTCCATATTATCGAAAGAGCGAACAGCTTGAGTCGGCTGGATTGACCGGCACTGCATTGGATCTCTGTCCCGTGCAGAATGAGGCTCATGGCACGCAAGGCCCTATTCACACTTCGCTAGGCCCCTGGCAGGCTCCTATTGAAACCCCCCTGCTAGCTGCAATGGATGAAACGTCGGGACTGTCTCGGCCGCAGGAGCCATGGAATGGAGAGCACTTGGGCTTCCATCGGTGCCTCTTTACTATCGATCGAAGCGCTGGCCTCCCACATCGCAGTTACGCGGCCAATGGGTATCTATTGCCAGTGCTGGGTAGACCAAATCTCCATGTCCTGACCAATGCGGCAGTCACCAGGATACTTCTTGATGACGAGCAGTGTGCTCGTGGGGTTGAATTTGTTCATGAGGGAAATAACTATCAGGTCAGCGTCGCACGCGAGGTTATTCTATCAGCCGGTACCTTCGAAAGCCCCAAGCTGCTGGAGCTGTCAGGTATCGGAGACCCTGGACATCTCGCCTCTCTGGGCGTTCCATGCCGGGTTCCTCTTCCAGGTGTCGGGACGAATCTCCAAGAACATCCCGTGTCCGCGGTGGTATACGAATTAGCAGACGGAGTACTGTCCATAGATTCCATCCTTCGTGACGAAAGCTTGCTAAAGCAGCACCTGCGACTGCTGCAGGAAGAGCAGTCCGGGGCACTTTCCGGCCCGGTCAGCCTGATGGGGTTCATCCCTTACGGACCCCAGGTCTCGGCTGAGCGGCTTAACGAAACCATCCTCAACGTGCTGCAGCATCATAGTAATGCTGCCACCGACAATGCCGAATTAGTGACACTCCAGCACCGACAGCGCCAACGCATTGTCGCGCATTTATTGGACCCCCGGTCAGCGGATATCCAGCTGGTGGGTTTCCCATCAGCATTTGCTATCGATCGAGTGTATGCCGATTGCAGCAAACTTAGCCCCGGCCCTCCCCCAGGCCGGAACGCATGCTACTCGCTTATGGTCAGCTCCATGTATCCTGTCTCTCAGGGAAGCTCCCACGCGCAGTCTCGGGACCCAGAGGCTGCACCGAGAGTGGACCTTGGATTCCTGAAGAACCCAGCCGATGTGGACGTCCTTGCGACGGCTGTCATGGTCGCGGATAACATCTTCCAATCTCCCCGCATGAAGGGGCAGGTCTTGGCCCGGGTGCAGCCGCCACCTGAGGTCAATTTGCAGGATGTAGAGCAGGCGCGAGAATATGTCCGGGATCGGCTGATGAGCTATCATCACGCGCTTGGGACATGTGCTTTGGGGTCAGTAGTAGATGAGAAATTATGTGTCAAGGGTACTCGGGGTCTGCGCGTGGTCGATGCAAGTATTATGCCGGCCCAGGTCAGTCATGCTGTGCTCGGCACGGTATATGCGATTGCGGAGAAGGCTGTTGACCTGATCGAAAGCACTTACTCTTAATCAAACGGGGTGTAAGCGAGCTTTTTTAAATCAGAGCATACCCTTCCGCTGTTTTCTGGAAAGATAAGCTGGTATGCCCCTAGAACTGAGGATAACAATTGCAAGGATTTGACATCATATGAAGTAACATGATGCTGTTTGCTGTAAAGGACATGCTTACCTAGGACAATGCCATAGATAATCTCCCTTTGCATGAACTTCATTAAAACAAACCTGGGCTGCTTCTCGAGCATTGTGCCAATTGGTTTGGGGCACCGAAGTTTACCAATGACAATGTAGCGCGTGAGCTTTTGAATGTTCATAGTGACTAATCAGACCACATAGTTATTAGTAAATTAACACTACGGTGTCTGCATAGTCTAATCGTTGAGTTAGATACGATAGTCTTGATTGCGTCAGACGAGTAGATGTCAAATAAATATTTTCAGTGTATTTAGTAGTCCTAGAAATTATTTTTCTGAGTGGAAGGCATCTCATAAATTGGAGTACGAAGGGATGTTGATGATCACGCATGTTGCAAGAGATCATCCCAAGACTTGATGCAGCCATTATCAGCAGATGACAAAGACGAGCAGACTTTGATAATTTGGCTGTGGATATGCTCCGCCTCCCATGTCTTAGGTATCAGACAAAGCAGGTACTTTATTCTTTCCTCTTCACTGTCTTTCGGATGACTTTGTTCGGTAAGGAACTCTATTGCGGTTTTCCCTGACCTGTCTTTCCTGGAGATTAACCAAATCGATGTATAGGCTTCTAGCATTCGAGCTCGACGTATATGCCAGGTGGTGTCCCCATCTGGACGGATACCCTCTAGAAAAGGGAAGACCGAATTTATCGACGGCATGGAGAAGGCTGTGGAGAAAATTAGGTTCACATTCAATGATCTGCGCATTTCCAGGAAAGGGTTGTGGTTGAACTAACCATCAGGTCGGAACCTAACTTTCAGGATTAGTAGTTCCAACGTTTCCTCTTGGAGAGGTTGAAACAGAGCATCCATGATCACTGACTCAGTGGCCTCGGTGGTTTTAACGAGATATTCACGAAGGTCTAGCTTTTCTGCCCTGATCAAAACGTAGCTCAGCATCCTGTCAATGAGTCGCCTTGACAACCTACCGTTCAAATACCAGCGATTCGACCTCGGTCTGTTCGCCCCTTGATATATTCTTCAATGGACGCGGTTGACCACGGTTAATTGAGTAGGGCTTGACCGGTGAAAAGGTGTATGAGTGGGAAAAGTCATATAGAACAGTATCAAAAAAATCCATCGGAAGTCTGAAGTGCTCATCTTTAATATCCCCATGGGCGATTCCAAGGCGGTGCAACGTCAGAAGTCGGCGAACACGGTCAGTGAAGAGGGAGTCATAGTAGTCCACTTCAAAATCACTCAGGGAACCTAGACCTCTGAGCCTATCCTTGAACTCATTCCCATGACTATGTTCGTTGCATGCTGCTAGGATCCGTCGTGATGAAAGCTTTGGCCTGATGCATTCTAGGGCAATGGCTCGATGTTTAGCATAGGGGCTGCTAAGACACTTCTCGAGATCGGTAATGACACCATGAAACCCAGGGAAGTAGATCCTTTGAGAGCTTGTACATGACGCGTCAATGCGACTGAACACTTTAAGTTCATTGGTAAACCAATCAAGTTCATCCCTAAGCTCCTTGGCCGTCTTAGGGAAACGTGGGGGCCGGCGTCTAAGCTGCATTTCTGCATCATGTTCAGTGTACTCTGGGAACTTCAATTTGTTTAACATTAGACCTTCTGTCAAATTTTCCCACTACCTGATATACTCACAATCTTAGCAACATGCTGGCGGTAGAATATCCCTCCACGTCGGACATATAGCCACAGAACTTGTATTCTGCCAAACTCAGAGTATCGTCCGGTATCTGCTGATCTTCCCAACATCCATTTCTTCCGCGGATCGAAGAGCCTGACATCTTGCTTATCTTCATGGCCTGCATTGATCCAATCTGGTAGAGGCCAGTCGGTGAAGAATGTCTCTGTCCACGACTGACCTTGCGTATTGCTCATCCTCGATGAGGAAACTGGTTGGCTAGCTTGATGATCACCTGGAAATTGCAACCAGCCTAATCTTTATATTATGTATAGCCACATCAGCGAAGGTCCCGTGAAGATTCCTTTGTAAGTCTTCAGACACCTAAAACAGGATTAAAACGATGATACATTAAAGAACGAGACTCAGGAGTGTGAGATGGGGTGCGAATTAATTCCTTATATTGTAGATATAAGCATATTACTGCCAAGAATGTGATTTCATATAGGTGAAGGGTGCCTGCAGCTGCCTATATCATTAGGCAACAGGTTGACCCCTTACATAGCTTACCAAAGATGCATTTGGCCAAATAAGAAGATAGGATAATTCTCTCATTCTATGAGGAGCCAAAGTACCCAGAGAATTGCAAAAAAAGTAAAAGGAGAATATGGCCATTAGGTCACTGACTGCACCTGCCTCATATGGCCATTTGTGTAGTAGTGTAATCCACCAAGTGAATACGAGAAGGCAAGGCATTTTTCCGTCTGTTGGTATCTACACTAATGTATGCAACTTATGCAACTATCCTTTTTCTGTTATACACAGACAGCCCAAGAACAGTTTACATCTACAAAAGCTCTGTTAGTGTTCAGTCGAAACACTATTGCCATTCTTATCTACTTATATCTTCTGTTGGGACATATCTCTCCATCGGCTGATCAGATAGATGCGGTATATCGTTTTTGTCTCGCGGTCAGCGCGTCGACGTTTGCTCTTTCCTTCCACCAAACCCATCAACTTCCTACCGGCATGTTGTCAACATCTTCACGTCGTTCTCATCGACTTCCAACACGCATCGACTTCGAGTCGTCTGGAGCCCAGGAATGAACGCTACTGGGCTACAAAAAGTAAGAAGCTTCCAAAAGCACTCTACACGATAAGTTCTGAAACCATGTCTAACTGCTCCTCACAAACTTCCTTCAGGCATAGACTTTGAGTCATCTGGAGCCCAGGATAGGTCCCGACCCCAATGAATGCTAGCATACATTGAATCCACAAAGCATATATCAACCACTGCGTTGAATATGGTCCCTGCCTACATCACTGTAGGATCGTTATGGGATGGTGGTATTGATATGGAAAAGCCAAGTACAGAAAATCTGTGCTTCTGGGGGAAAGTAAGAACCTTCCAAAGTTAATATACTGGACAAACCTCAAGCACATTCTAACTGCTTCATCATCCAATAGAGGCACTCCCAGCACACTGCTCGGCTTCTACATATACCACAACCGGCAAGAGAACGTGGAGGTTATCGCGGAAGAACACTCAAACATTGTATCTCCCAAGCCAAACCTCAAAATCCAGACACCAAAAGTTGTTTCCACGGTACGATGGCGGTTTTCTAAACCAATATATGGATTTTACGCCGGGATAGTGCAAGAAAGGAAGAAGGAAGCAGCTTCGGGGGTCTCAAGCATCATACAGTCTGAGTACTGTCATTAGAGAGTCGAGATCTTCTCCCTTTCTCTGGTTGATCCTGACCGCGACCTCTGGTGAACTGGAACTTACAGTCCTAGTCAAACTAGCCGAACTTCTCTAAAGACTTCCGCCATGTCGAAGAGAAGAGGTGAACTGGAGCCTAGAAAGCTCTAGTACGTCGGCCACTCTCTTCAGAGTGCTCATAGGGGCCATGCGACACTGGGGCTTTCTGATTGAACCCGTCAATCTTGCAATACTATGAAGGGGAAAAGAGAAGACAAAGGCCAGAAGTCTTAACAAAAAGTCGAAACTGAGAGTGATAGTTTGGCAAACCCTATTCATGCCACACTTCTATACGGGCAAGATTGACGGGCTCAATCAGAGAGCCTCCGGGGCCCCCAGTGTTGCAAGGCCCCTATGAAGAGATTAGCCGACGTACCGCCCTTCTTTCCAGTCGATATTGACAGAGTGGAAGCTCACTTCCATGTGGGCAATGCCATCTACCTATGAGGCAAGTTGCCTCAGGTTACAGCTGCAAAAGACATCGTCCTCAGTATCATTGCATAGAGCAGCTGCCCGAGCAAGAAGGAGGTAGAATGGGAGAAGATCAAGGCACATTCAGTCAGTAAAGAAGATGGTGTGGAGGTGAAGGAGAGATATGGTGTTGGAATAGCGGTTCTGCCAAGTAGGTCGAAACGATATATCACTGGCTACTTGGAGCAGACGGAGCGACAAATGTCTCAACATTTGAAGCCAAGCTTCAGGCACTGCAAAAGCAACCGGATTCCTCTTCCGACTTTTGCGAAGAGCAGAGTGGTCGCATGAGGAACTGGAGCATACTTGCTTCGCACGGAAGAAGAATTGGTAAGAAATATATACTATGTGGAGGCTGAAGGGTCGAACATACCACGGATATAAGGCAACACTATGACCCCTTGCATAGCCTGGAGATGTCAGCGAGTAGCTTATCAGAGTTGTGTATGAGTAAGTTTATAATTGGATCAGATGATCAATGTAAACAGTGGAATAATTATGTGATCTATTATGTGAGAAGTACAGAATTTTTGTAGTGGAACAAATCTACAAGGAGACTCATGCTCATTTACCGGTGTGATTTTGTCAGACGTTTGCCGAATTGTATGGCATAATTTTGATTCTAATGCAGTGTCTTAACTCATTAATGGTATTCGCTTCCCTGAAGCTCAAGCCCAATTACCGATCATTTTCCGCCCGCGACTCCTCGGCCATACCGATCTTCGCTCGTTTCGAAAGATCAGCTTGTAACGCCTTATCGATTGTTGCATTGATCTCCTTGACCTTTTCCAAAGCAACAGAGGTCTTATCCACAAAGACCATCGCATCCACTGGAGAACCAGAGAACTTGGAGACGAAGCACACATCACCCGCATTGTTGATACCGATCACGACATCAGCTTCCGCTGCTTGCTCCTCCTTCCGAGTTGCATCAATGATGACCCGTTTTCCTTCATCGAATGTGTGGAAAGTGACAGAAAGCGGCTTGTGCGTGATGTTCAATGCGACAGGAACACGCTCATCGAGCCCGTAGACGATCACCTGGCCATCCTTGACTACAGCGTCTTGACGGCGGAAATGCTGCAGTCCAGCCATGATACCAATACAAGCCGCATCAATCAGATTGCCATCGTAGTCTGTAACGTGGACGTCCGCGCGGATGCTCCAGCAGCTGACACCCTTGAGGATACAGAGGGACTCGGTGTCCAGGGCGTTGGAATGGCGAACGACACGGTCGAGGACATTGGTGACATATGTTTCAAAGTCTCCTTGTCTGAATAATAAACAGTTAGCTGGAACATTGCTGGCTCGCGGCTGATGAGGGATTCATACCGGCCATTGTCCCAAGCGGGAGAGCCCATGGCAGTTAGCTCCATGGCGATTGTGAAAAGACCGTCAAACGGACGATCATCGTGAGGTTTTGTGACTTCAGCAGAGATACGAACAATAAGGCTGTAGCGGAAGAAGAGTCAATTAGCGTTGTCAAAGCAAGCTGCAATGATTCTACTCACCTGGTTTTGCCGAGCTGCACCTTCACATGTCCATACTCCTCCCCGAACGACACGTTCAGCGGACGCAGCTGGTCGAAACCGCGACCGTCAAGTCGCACATCCTCGCGCAGCGCATTGAGGATGAAGTCGCGCTCAGTGACGGAGAGCAATGCTTCTTTATTCATGATTGCGGAGGCGGATTTGGCCCCGGCGGGGGTCACGGCGGACTTTCTGGGAAATTTCCTGCATGCCGCATCGTCATCGAGGCGGCGGGCCAATGTTGTTCCTCGTGGAGCCAATGAAAGCTAGAGTTGGCGGGCGGTGAAGTGGCTGACTCATCTTATGGCCTGAGGTTGCATGTCGGCGATCATTATCAGATCTCATCCTCGTCGGAGTGCCAACCACCACCAACACACAGTCCAACAGCCGCCACCATGACTACGGGTATGTATCTATACTCATTGGATTTGAGAAGCTCTGTACTAACTACTCGATAGCTCACAGGCCCACGTTCGATCCCGTATGTACCTCGATCATCTGCTCAGCGCATGAAGCTCATCGAAACAGGCACAAGGAAAGGAGGCCCTCCGCGGCCCTGCGTACCATCAACGTCTTCTCCCGGCTTACACACACCTTAAGACACGGTAAGTGGTTTGCAAATTTTGTGCGACCATCACTGACGTGTCAAAAGTCAATTCGGTCAGGGTAGTGAAGTCGAAACCCAGCAACGCGATTTGCGCGCCGAGCTGCTCCAGGCGGAGGCTGCTCATTTCGCCAAGAAGAACGGAGTTCCCGTGGACGAGCCCAAAGTCGAGACCGCCACGCCCAAGCGCCAGTTGGAAGGTGGTTCACCCGGTGGTGATGCAAAGACAGAGGAAGAAGATCCAGAAGCCAAACGACGACGAATACTAGAGGAGACTCGAGATATAGATGCAGATTCTGATGAGTCGGAAGAGGATAGCAGCGAGGACGAAAGGTCAGACTTGCAGATGTTTTAGATTTGCGCGATAGTGCTGACAAGATACAGTGACGATGAAGAGGATGAGGCTGCCGAACTGATGCGCGAGCTGGAGAAGATCAAGAAAGAGAGGCTTGAGCAGAAAGAGAAAGAGGTTTGTGTGGCAGATTTGGGTTTGAGATGAGTTACTGATAGTTGTCAGGAACGCGAGCGTGCTGCACAAGAAGAGGAGCAACGCGAGGTTGATATTGCTCGAGGCAACCCGCTGCTTAACCCTCAAGACTTCAATGTGAAGCGCAGGTGGGACGACGATGTGGTGTTTAAGAACCAGGCCCGTGGTACAGAAGATAGGCGGGGCAAGGAGTTTGTTAACGTAAGTCTTGCCTTGTATGTATTATGTATGATGTTATGGTGCTAATTGGCATGCAGGATCTGTTGCGATCGGACTTCCACAAGAGATTCATGGTGAGTTGTATGTCTGGAATAGCGATGAATCTACTAACTTGTGTAGTCGAAATACGTCCGCTAAGCTCGTGCCCGAGAAACACACGCACTATTTACAGCAGTCAATCCGACGACTATTGTCTATCCTAGAGTCGTCAATCGATCCCAATTCATAACAGATCCAGCATCGTGGTGGAAACAACTCCCATGTTAGCACGCGAATAGAGAAGCAGCACAAGCCGGCAATTGCTTCCCAACACAGCACAGGAAGAAAGCGCGACGACAAGCGAAGAATGAATGGGTGATCTAACACATGGCGCTATTATATTTCTTCTCATAGTGTATACCCACATCTCAAACAAACCAATTATCCATATAGCCCAATATAGTTTAGTACCTAAGTAGTCTCCTATCATATCAACCTGATAGACACCGTACTGCCGGCAGTACCCACACCGCTCCCAATCTACTTGCACCGCAGCATCCATCACAGTTATCCTATCCCATCTTTTCACACAAACAGAAACCAATCGCTGTCCCAGCTTAAACTCCTCAGAAATGGATTCTCAACCGTCATCGAAAGCGCTTCACTGTAAGCCAAATCCTAAATGTCCACCCCTCCGTCACACAGCTACCAACCATCATCCGTCGCAGATCGCATCAACACCAACATCTCGCAATTACTCCAACGATTCGAGAACATCATGGCCACAGCAACTGTTAGCTCACCTGTCCTCCTCCAACCCACACAAGCGCATAACCATTAACCCTAAAACTTCAGACCGAAAGCACCAGCCACACCTCCACCGCCGTCGAGACATACCAGCTCGACGTGGAATCCACAGCATTGGTACGCCCAACCAATCTTACACAAACCATATACAATGCTTACAGAGATAAATTTGGGATAGGTCCGCGCCGCAGAAGACATCCTCGCCCTAACCCGAACAATGAAAGAAACGTGGCTATTCGGGAAACTCGACACACTCGGCGAAGACGAAGCGGACGTGAAGCGACGCGAGGAATTGGAGATGAATGCGGAGGCGATTCAAAAGGCTATTGAAGATGGGGGGTTTTTGAAGGCTGCTAAGTGAGAAGCAGCGGCAGCTTTGCTTTGGGTATATTGTATTTGGTTGTGTTGTGTGTGAGTGCATGGCGTATACCGGGTTGGTTGGGTGGTTATTGCATGGAGTTGGTGGGATGGCGTTGGGGTTTTTGTTGATAGAATTGTACATATTAATACCATTAAGCTGTAAATAAACCCTTTACTACTACTAAACATGCATAATTATCTGGGGTAGTCCGGTCGAAGAAGTAAACTAAAAGCACGTGGTTACCACCACCCCAGCGGGGAATATCTTTGATCGCGAACCGTCTGATAAAAGCTTCCTTCCCTTCCCTTCCTATCAAATTTCCCCCCACCGCGTCCCTCCCTCCTTCACTACCACCAACCAGCCTCATACAACACATACCTACACCATCACCACCACCACCACCACCACAATTCTTCTCAAAAGAATAACCACCAAAATGCCTCCCACACCCCGCCCCCTAACCCTCATCGTCGCAACCACCCCCATCCCAACCCCCGCCAGCACCACCGAGAGCAGCAGCAGCACCACCACCACCCCAATCCGCCTCGGCATCGGCCACTCGGGCACACTCCCCTGGCCGCGAATCAAAACCGACATGTCATTCTTCGCCCGGGTGACCTCCCGCCCGCCAGTGCCCGGAACCACCAACGCGATAATAATGGGTCGGAAAACGTACGATTCCGTGCCGGCGCATCTGCGGCCGCTGGCGAAGCGCATTAGCACCATCATTACCCGGGATGTGGAGGGGTTGAAACCTAGGGTGGCGAGGGAGGTTGAGGATCGGAAAGCCAAGCTTGCTGCGTCTGCTGCTGCTGCATCATCTACATCTGGGGGTAATGGTAATGCTGTGCAGCCAGCGACAGATGCAATCGTGTGCGGGGGATTGAATGAGGCGCTGCAGGAGCTGGAGACGCGGTATGGAGAAGGGAAACTAGGCAAGGTGTTTGTGATTGGTGGGGCGGAGATATATGGGGCTGTTTTGGCTGCGAAAGGAGGGCCGGTGAGGATTGTGATGACGAATGTGGAGAAGAAGGGGTATGCGGAGGGAGATCGGGGGGATGTGTTTGAGTGTGATACGTTTTTCCCGGTGGATGAGGAACTGTTTGGGGAGAAGGAGGGGTGGAGGAGGGTTACGCCGGAGGAGGTTACCGAGTGGGTTGGGGAGGAGGTTACGGGGAGGTGGATTGAGGAGGGGGATGTTAGGGTGCAGATGGTGGGGTATGAACGGGTGTAAATGGTAGAGTTGAGGTAGAAGCTATGTGCGCGGGCGTACGTGGATGTCTATCATGGTAAAGTTGATACAGTTCTGGCAGAGTCTATGTATACGGCAGATATGTACAGTCTAGATAACAACTAGCCGCCCTAATAATGCTGGTACAAATCACATGCTCTCGCTGAAATAACAAATCAAAACCCAAATCAGAGGCAAACAAACCAACTCCTTGCTAATATACAAGCACAGGGAGTATGCACATTGCTGGATGCAGCTGTCAAATACTTGTCAATAATCGCTGAACGATGTCGTAATGAAACACTGCAACGCTGAACGCTGATAATCACATCACTCATTCTCTTTCATATACTTCACAAAGGCTTTCTTATGTACTAAGCCGGCATACTGGCCATCATGCGACACGCACAGATAGCGCAGACCAAGCTTGGCAAAGCATTGATACACGAGGTCGATAGGCGAATGGATGTCGAGGGCAAGGGGGGACTGCAGACGTCAGATTTGTCAAAGTAAAAGGATGGAGCTACATACCGGATCAATGTATTGTCCAAAGTCGACGCGGCCGGTTTCGGCTTCATCTTCGCTGTCGGAAACAGCCGAAGAGCCGTCGAGACTCATCAGGCAGAGGGTGTTCTCCTCGTCCGCGAGGTTGTCCAGTGCGTACTCCAACTCAGGAGCCGGGATTAAACCGGTAAGGACACCATGGCGCAAGATCGGAAGACCACCGTCGAGTTCGCCCGCCATCAACAGGTTCTGAAGTTTCGAACGTAGCTCGCGTGCCGGCACAAAGGACGAGCCCGAAATGTCAATGATACGACTGGAGCGAACCGGCCGAACGAGATCTCCTAGCTGCGCATCCGACGTCGGTTGATGCTTACTGTCCAGGAACGGGTAAGAATTCATATCGGTCAACATATCCTGTTCAAATTAGTCCACATCTTTACACAAAGCATTCGCGCACTTACGTAGATGCTGCGAGGTTCGATAGCGTCAGCAGTCCACTTGGCACACAAGACAGCCACGGAGAATGGCAGCACGTGGTCCAAACTTCCCGTGAGCTCAAAGAGAATGACAGCCAGTGTAACAGACAGGCGTGTCACTCCACACATGGTTGCACCTGCTGCGACCATGGCGTACACTCCTGGCGTCACGCAGGATTCCATGCCGGCTGTGGCGGGACACGACGATCCAAAAAGAAAAGAAGTGGGATATTTCAGTACCAAGTACTGTGCTGCATGTCCAACGATGCGGCCCAGAAGACCACCAACAACCATGGAAGGGACGTAGATACCACACGGCACCTTGATTCCGAACGTCACCACCGTGAGAAGACTCTTGATGACAAACGCAACAAGTAAATAACGAATAATTTCTCCGATCCCCTCCTCCGGCGGACACAGACCAGTCGGCGATGAGGACTCGTGATCACAAGGGCTAGCCAACTCAAACATAAGCTCGGAGACGGGCAGCTTGGTGTAACGATTCCAAAAGCTAACCAATCCGGTCAAAACAGCCACAAGCACGACCTCGATCATTGGCCAACGTTTGATGAACCAAATTCTCCGGAAAGACCGCGCCCAGAGGTTCGAGGCCTTGATGAACAGAGCCCCTAGCGCTCCACCAAGGACACCTAGGAGGATAAAGATTGCCATTTCGAACATCTCCCAGTCGCCCAGATAGCGGACCTGGAACAAGACAATCTTGCCCGTGCCGTAAGGATTGAGGAACTTCAAGGAGAGAGCTGCTGCGATGCAGCAGAAGAATGTTCTGAACAAAGTCTTCGGAGGGAAATAGTAGCTAACTTCCTCTAAACTGAAAAGGACACCACCGATCGGGGCACCGAATGCTACCGCCACACCACCTGCAGCACTTGCGCTCAAAACCTCGCGTCTCTTGCCATCGTTATGGTTATACTTGGCAAAAATGCGACAGCAAATATTGCCCACACATGTCGCGATGTGCACATAAGGTCCTTCTTTGCCCAAGCTGAGGCCTGACGAAACGCTGAAAACCAGCGCAAGGGTTTTGATTAAGAGAGTCTTGAAGCCAAGGTATCCATGCAGAACGAAGCCGCTGTTAATGACCTTGACCTCAGCCACTCCGCTACCTGCCGCAGGATAGTAAACCATGGCAGGACGCGTGGGAATGGCGGAACTAAGAGCCTGCTGGCTGGAAGCAGATCCGGGCGAATTACTATTTGCATTGTTTCCTTTTGTACTCCGTGACGACGCCGCCCCAAGGTTTTCATCCAAAGTTGTCAGCGACACCGAGGATGGAACCACGGTCTTTGTAAACAGCGTCAAGAGGCACGAGATGACAGAAAGAAGCACCACCCAGAAGATGAACATGCTGTAGTTGACCCAGTAATTATCTGATCCTGAGGGATTGTAGATCTGGGACCAGGATCGCCACGCCGGGCAATTCGAGCCTCCTGTACAGCAGCTCTGACGGCTGTGGAACCAGTGTGTAGTACAAAAGCCTTCCTTCACGTCAAAGATGAATTCCTCCGTCACGTCTACCGAATAAGCTATCGCGGCCGTGATACAGCCAATCAATGCGACCAGGACCCAGCCCTGGGAGCCATCGAGCCATGCCAGCAGACGACCGCGGATATCCTTGCGCTTGCGCAGCTCCCGAAGACGAGCCCCGTCTATGATACTGTCATGCACCCAGTCAGTGGAGGTGAACTGGTCATACCAGCTCCGCTCATCCATGAACGAAGCTGTTAAGCCATCTTTGACAGAAGCAGCCAAGCTTTCCGCCTGCTCCGCATCGATACTGCCGCGTCGACTAAAACGGATCGCCTGGGAGTTGGCGCGGCTATGGTGTCGCGACCGGCGAATGCTTCCCGTCATTAGGGTGTGTCTAAAGTTGAAATCGGGCCCCGTATTTCCAGAAAGGTTGGTATATGAACGTCGTGGCATACCCCGCCGGGCTTCATTGCCCTTCGGTAGAAGACTTGTGGTTTCGCCTACTTCCATACTCGGATCCGAAGGTTCATGGGGAGTTTGGACTTCAGAGAGAAGGCTATGGGTTCGTCGAACGGCAGATGGCGAGGGAGGAGCTGTTCGCGAGGGAGTCCTGCGGGCGTCCGATCCGCCGGAGGGAAGCTCGGCTTCCGGGAGAGCGCCTTGCAGATTGGGAGGGACTGAACGAGGCATTTTTGAAAGACTAGTGAAGCAAGAGCTGCTTCGGACTTAATATATGCGGCCTGGAGATAGTCAAGTCAGCCCAGGCAGTCCGGTGTCTGCCAGATGCAAACCAGCAGCAGCAGGGACGGAGAGATAAGAACAACCCTCAGCAGCGGACATATCCAACAACATTTAAGCCCGAGAAGAGGCCGAGAAAACGAACAGTGGGGACTCCGACTAGTTCGGTGGTTCTCCAGCGCGCGCGCGGTAGATGGCGGTGAAGTTGCCGAAGTGAAGAGACTAAGAAAGACGGGAGAGACAAATAAACACGGCAGTCGCAAGGTTGGTTAGTTTAGGGGGGTGAGTGAGGCTGTAGAGGAAGCACACAATGAAGGAAAGAAAGAGCTTAGCGAGTAGTGAAAGAGATGACACAATTAAGAGGGGCGGCAATAATAGTTAATAATAAGAAAAAGAATAATACCGTCTCAAAAAAGGAGAGGAAAAATAAATGCAGGAGGCAGCGATGGGCACGACATCCGAGGAGGTCATGGCCACCAAAGCAGATAAACGGGGCTAAAGGCGCATCATCTGACGATCGGAGTCCGGGTGGTCCCTTGACTTCTGGACTTGGTTGGTCACCCACGCCCTAATCATTCCCCATCCACTTCCCAAGAGAGGATGGTTTTCATGTCTCTCCTTTGAAACCTTGTTGTCTTTAACTCTTCCCACCTTCCACACCCCCCTCCTTTCGTGAACTTCCCTGCCATATAATAGCAGATGATGAAGGGAGTGGAGGGGGGAAAAAGACAACATGACAAACGGTCAGATAAATAAAGAATCCTGGGGGACCCGATCCATGGCACGTGCATTGTCACGATAATGGCGGCCGTGTAACATGCCAATGATGCCATTCATTCCCCACTCTCGCCTAATTATTATTATCTCCAAGCTTAGTACGTAGCTGCTGCTGCACCCCGGATGTCCGCCGCTGTTAACGCCTTAACTGCCTGTCCATTATACCCCTGGGATGCGAGGCATGACCCCTCCATGAGGCACCCTTTCCCACGGCTGAACCCGGTTTAGAAATGAGGCGTGAGCTGGCCTTGACTGCATTACTTTATTTCAACGGGCGCCTGATTACTGCAATTGGTTAGATGATCTCCCGTGTCAAAAGATCAACACGATAGTTGAGGCGACATTGACGATGTCTGTGTCCTAAGATGGAGTCATAAACGACGTTCTTATCATGGCCGCATTGTACTGTAGTAATTGTGCAGCAGACTCGACTCTTCAGAGGGTGGACATATACAGTCCACCTCCACCGATGGTGTCACAGCGTCATCTCACCACTGTCACTCACAAAAGGAATAACGTCTTTAATCCATGATAGCACCCGCTCAAAGGGTCTTTTTAGTCCGAACAGATAATTTGTTTTTGCCGCTTCCCCGCATGATAAAGCAATATTGAACTCTACCTGTTACAATATACCTCTCTACTCGGTCGATGCAGGCTACCATGGCTCCACTCCCGTGCATGCATGGCAATGTATACTTTGCCACTCTGCACAGCTACCAAGATCTGATGCAGTACTTTAGGCTTTTGTTACGAGCAGATGGGAGATGATGAGCTTCACTGATCATACTTTATCAATAATATTGCGAACTTGCCTGGTTCAACGGTACAAACATAATGTATCAAGTCTTCAGCTTTTCCCACAAGTCATGCCATACCCCAACTGCCACCGATCTTTCACCCACCATCTCCAAGACAAAGATAGCTTCAGTGTCCGGTTGGACAGCGATAATCAATTGCGGAGGCTTTTATCAAAACCACCAATGAAAATCTACTCCAACCCCAAATACAGTTCAATAC